AATTAACTTTTATTTTAATGACAAATACCACATGTCAAATTTTTATTGGTTAATTTTAAATTAAAAATTAAAATTTATGTTTTTAATATGAGTTTATCTAACATGTACCCTAAGGTTTATTAATTATGGAATCTATAATTAATTTTATACAAATTTTCATATTAGATTCATATTTTTTTTTGTAAATTTCGAGTATAAATATTATATTTTATTTTAATAAGTTTGTTTAACCAGTGTCCTAAGGGCACATATTAAGGTGCAATAAATGCACTTTTTTGTAATTAATTTTTTATAAAAAATAATAAAAGTTAACATTTATTTTAGTGTCATTGTCATGTGGATAATTTTAATTAATTTATTAATTAAATTCAAATTAATTTTTATTAATTTCTATATGTATTAATTATAAAACGGTGCATTTAGTGCACCCTTTAGGCACAAAATAGAAAATCCCTATTTTAATTGAATCTAATATAAAATTTATGTAAAATTAATTAGAGATATTGTATTTAATAAAACTTAATCTATACCATAATTCCTTTTAAGATAAAGTTTTACTTTTTTTTCAAGAAGAGAAGTTACAATTATTACCTAATGATAACTTTTTATCTTGACCTTACAAGGCAGATCATAGACAAACCTCATAAAACTAAGGTTAATTATCAATTGTAACCCTCAACTTTAAAATTTTACACATTTTTTTATCTTTCCACTATTTCAAGCATCTCTTTGTACTTTTAACTCTAAAAATTTACTCTCAACTCTAAAAATTACATAATTTTAATGCTTCGACTAGTTAGGTGCTGACTTTGCTATTAAATCCGTTCAAGATAGCAGTTTTTTTTATGACGTGCTAATAGCATATCATACAATTATTTTACATAGATAAAAAAAAACAAAAAAAAAAGCCAAGTCAGATTTCCAAACTCATTATAATTATTTAATATTAAAAATATTTTCCAAAATTATGCTTATACCCTTATCTTCTTCATCTCCTTCCCCCGATCCCCTTCTCTTTCTCCATTCATATTCCTCAACTCCATCGTTCAGCTCTTCCTCCCCTAGCTCTCTTTTCTGCAGCACTTTCTCCCTTCTACCTTCTCCGATCCCTTTCTTTTTCTCTTCCTTCTTTCCCTTTTCTCCCTTCCTTCCCTCATTCTTCACAGATCTAGGTTTGTACAAAACTAGATTTATGGGTTTCAAAACCCATAATTCTGGGTTCTTACAAATTTGTTCTTCATATCCCTCCCTTCTACCTTCTCCAATCGTCCATCTCCTTCTTTCTACCGCTTTCCTCTGTATCCCCTTTCATCAAATCTAGCAGATTTGGATTTATGAACTCACCCAGATATAGGTTCGTGTGGAACCTAGATGAATTGGATTCGAATGAATCTGGATTTGAGTTCGCATATAACCCATCTAAATTTTGTTCAAACTATTCTCCCCCTCCTCTCCCTCCCCTCCTCCATTTCCTTTGAAGCTACTAGCTAATCTTTGGATTCATTTCAAGGATTCGCAAACCCAGATTTTTTGGGTTCACATATGGGTTTGTTTAGGGTTGTTAAATCCATCAACTTTAAGAATTAATTTAGATTTTTGTTTCTTTCCTCTTCAGTTGTGATTGACAATTAAAATGAAGGTTTAAGCAACAACTGATTATGGTTTTGAATTTGGTTGCTTGTTGGATTTGACCTTCATGAATCTGCGATCTGGGAATGAAGAAATGAAGGGGGCAACTGGCAAGATTATAATTTCACTACAGGGCAAAAAATAAATTGAAAGTGGGGTCTGAGAATTTTTGTTAATTTAACCAAACAAGATAGGTGAGAGTGGGACCTATTTTTATATTTTAATTAAGATAAATAAATATTAATTTTGAATGTCATTGAGTGGGTCTCATTTTTAACTTGTCATTGAGTAATTCGCATGAGTTTTAGTTCAGGGAAGCATTTTTTATTAGTTGCATATTTATGTTATTTTTTGCTTTTAATTCATTTAATTATTTTAACTTATCAAAATGATAGAAGAGGAGAGAAGGGATTTAAGAGACATAATCATATATTGAAAAATAAAACATTAAACAATTTTTTTATTTAAAATTGTAAGATTTATAAAAACTAGAAACCAAAAATCACCTAATAAGCAATAAAGCATAAATCTAATAAGAAAGAAAAATCAGCCGCGCGAGCAGAAGGGAAGCGTCTCACCTTCATATCATGTGTCCCACACGGACAGGCCAAAAAGCACCACTTGCCTTCTCAAACCAAAACTTCGCCAAGTATGGTTTTTCATGTACCATATAAAGTTTAAAAATAAATTAAAAAGATGCTCTAGCAATAGGACCAAAACTATATAATTAACCATACTTACAAACTTCGTCCGATGATATTCAGGAACTCAGCCACTAGCTGTTAAACACAGACAAACTTTAGCAAGAATGGTTTGGGTGATGACCCCTTCTTTTGAGCGCAGGATATGTTTAGTCCATGCTATACTTACGTAGAATATATGTAAATGCACATATGAACTCTCAACAAAGAACATAATAGGATATCAAGAGTGAAGAAGTAGATGACATACCTGCGTGCTTGACAGAAAATGAAATGAAATTATATAAGGTGGACACTTGATAACAAACCTAACTCTTTCTTATATAATTGAGGAAGCCAAGGAGTAGGAGACAACTTTCAAATGCAAGCAAGTCAATGAACAAGTCAATAAGAGGCATCTATGGATATTGTAGGTGATTGGTAAAATTTAAAAAACAATTTTTTAGAAGTAAACTTTTATTTAAATATCTAAAAATGATGGAGAGAAATTTAAATTT